AAGATATAAAAATCAAGTTTAAAAACTTATTGTGGTTGCTGCTTCTACTGCTCAAGCTGGCAGACCAAACAAGAGTTGCTGTGTGTAACATATCACTAGGCTCAGGACTGTTAACAAATGGGCCGGTGAAGGTTGGGGACTCCTGGGATACACATACACAGTACATTTTAAACATTGCCAAGGCACACAAAGCGCCACACAATCAGATTTAATACTGAGCAATACTGTGCATCACTATTACTTCATTATCTCTCTTTTGTTGTAAAAAGCTGCAGGATGTTCATACAATCGTTTACCTGTATTTTAGACTTGGAACCTTTGCACATACAATTTAGTTCTTTACAATGTTCTGCCATTTTGTTATTTTGCTTCTTTCTCACTATCTACAGATGTGAAAAGTGATTAGAGTACTAGTCCCTAATGCTTATTTTCTTAAAGGAAAGAAAACCAAAATGAGTAGTGGTGAATAGTATTTTCTTGGGTTTTTCTCCTTGCTTGGAAATAAAAGTTTCTAAAGTTTCTGATAAAAACCACTGAGACTAAGTTTGTTAGCATGAGTCCATTTTGTTATCAATCTGAAATCAGCTACAACATGTTAGCAAATGGCTATCCTGATAATTTTGAAAATAGTGCCACATATACATGCACAATTCAACAAGCCCACAGTGACATGCAGTGACAGCTCAAGGAGGTTATGGTGGGGAAGGAAGTAAAAAGTGCTTTTCTGGCAACACTGGTGGGTGTGGGGAGAAGTGGTCTGCTGCATGCATGCTAAATATGGTGGAACATTTAGATACCCTACCTGAGGGGTGATCCGATGAGCAATGTAGGAGGGGTAGGGTTACTCCCTGCATTGTGCCGGCGTCGTACAGCCTGACGCCTAAATGTGCTGCGTTCACGACGAAATGTGACAGTCTCCTCGCTGGCTTGTGCTGCTGCATCAAGACAGACTTTAGGTCAAAGAAGAACCCATCCTAGTTATGTACACAGTAACTTAAGACTCCTTTCTTTCCCCGGACCCTCCCCAGTTAATGAACTTGACTTGCAACAATAAAAATACCTTATTCACTGACTGTTAAATAACCTGCCTCAAGACAGGACCACAACACACAATTAGTAAAACTTGGGTGTTTGAGGGGTGGGGGGGTGTGTTCTTGAAGACACAGCTTACTTTTTTTTTTTACCCCCAGATCCAAATAGCTAGGTTGCAAAAAAAAAAGCTGGATATCCCAGATCTCTTCCATTTACACAGGGCAGGAAGAGACAAGACTGATCTCAGCCTCTACCTCATTCAATAGGTAATTAAAGGAGAAGCCTAAAGGATAACCTAGAAAGGTTGTCTGCTGCTCCTCATCACAACATTCTCTTCTCAATTTTTTACTTTCTGCCAAACAGGTAGGGTTGAGGTTAATCTCATCATACCACCTAAGGGGACAGAGTTGCCTTTTTTTTTTTTCTTTTTCCTTATAAGCAACATGTATCCCTTGGTGCTTATTTCAGACTAGTTACACTATGATTTGGAGGAGCAGAGGGTTGAGATTAAGTGAGAGTTTAACTTTTTTGTAAGGATTGGTTTGTTATTTCAACTCCAAAAAAAAAAAGAAAAAACAAACAAAAAAAAACCCCACAACAACAACAACAACCACAAAAAAACCAAAAAACAAACCAAAAAAAAGGTTTGGTTCACTTATAAAGCAACACTGTAAAAAGCAGTGGGATCTAAGATTTTACCACAGATTACCCTCCAGCTCCACCTGTGCTCCCTAAACAACCTGAACAACTGCTTCATGGTGTGTCTACAATCTCAGCCTTCCTCCTGAACCACGGAAGCTATTAGCCAATTTGAATACAGAGCATTAGAGAGCTCAAATCAATGGGTCACAGAGAAAATAGGTTTTGGCAGGCAAGAGGAAGAGGAAGGAAAAAAAAAATCCAAGCCAAACCTGACATGAAGTCAGTGCAAGAGGAAAAACAATCTTGAAGGGGAAGTCACAACTTGGTAGCCAAGAAGCCTTTTACTAGAGTGAGAAAACCAAGGATTGTGTCAAGCCAAAAAAAAAAAAAAAAAAAAAAAAAAAAAAACAGACTCCGTGAGCAATACTTTTTTATGACAGAAAGATCACAGGCAGAGTAGTCCCTGTTCAGTTAAGCACATTTCAAGTTACAACAGTCCTGTCGTTAAGCTTTCAAAACTTACCAGCAAAGACTCTAATGCTGGTCTACAGGGAATAGCAACCTATGGCAACCCACTCCTGCCGTGTATTACTGCCATAGCTCAAGCAATAAAGACTGAGTGGAACAAGAGACTAATTCCACCCATGAATATCAAGTGAATATTACATATGAAATTTCAATCTGTAGTTTGCTTTAAAAGCTAAGAAGCTACATGAAGAGATATACTTTAAGACCAACATTAAAATTACAAGCATTTCACTACCAAAACATCTAAAGTTACGGACATCCTTCATTCAGTCCTTTCCTATGTTTTCAGGAAAACCGTGGGATTGCTCACTTTCTCCTCACTCCTCCACAAGTGTTTTTGTTATTCTACGCATGAACACATGATGCTTCCTTCCCAGTGTATTTCAGCAAGAATTCAATAAATTTCTCTTGTGGTTTAAAACACTGATTTATGCTTTGTTTTAATACATAGCCTAATTTCTTCAAGGATGTTTTATAGCTCTCGTACTTGAAGTACTGGGAAAGTGAAACACACTAAACAAGACAGTATGACTTTTTTTCTGGTGGATTAAGTTAACACACAAGAGGTCAAAACCACACACTAATTTTAGGTGCCAATTTATAAAGCTCAATTGTTCCAGTGTATACATCAGCACATAAAAACTCCTTTATTCACAACACAGCTTCCGCTGACTTCAGATGCAAAAGCAATTCCACATGTTTCTGCTTATCAGACCATAGCTAAGCACCACAAAATAAAGAACAGTGACAAGTCTTAAAGGAAATGTAAGCATCTTCATTACCATTAACATGGTTACATCTTAATTACCATTTGTAACTACTTAGCAAAAGCAGCATTCAAGTATAATTCTTCAAGGCAGCATACTTAACCCTGACAACATCTGTTTTTCTTTTCATATCCTTTATTCAGTAAACATCACCTTCTGCAATAACTGAAGCCCAGATTATGGAAACACTAGAGGTCCTTCCTACACAGTTCCAATTTTATCACTAAAGCAAGTCTACCTCAAGCACTGGCTAAGGCAGCATCCTGTGCAAGAAAGAGAGAAATATAAACATGTTTAAAGATAAAAAAAAAATAAATTAATAAAGCTGCAGAAGCAAATAGTTCTGGCATTTGCTAACTTTTTATTATTTCACTTTAACCTTTAAGAATCAAAGTAGATTTTGGAGTACCTTTGGACCTAATCTACCAAGGGATTTCTGATTTATCTTGAAACTTTCATTCAATGCACATCTTCTATACACTCTCTTCCTGAATGTAGGTGGTGACATTCAGGATCACTAAGCAAGTCTGTAAATTATTTTGAAAAGACTACAAAGCTTTTCAGCCCAAAAAGCTCCGAGTCTCCTAACATTATGCAACATCTCAAGAAGCTACATGCTGAAACCATGACTAAGTAACAAAAAAAAACAAAAGAAAACTCAAAAAACCAAAACAACAACAAAAAAACCAAACCACTAGCTGAGCAGAAAAGATTAGCTTGTTTGAAATGTGGAAAGCCAAAGTGAGCAAAGTTTGGTTTTGGTTGTTTGCTTTGCTTTATCTTAAAAAAAAAATAAAAAAATAAAAAAAAGGCAAAAAAGCACCTTAAAGAACACATGGGGTTTAGAAAAAAAACCCAACAGTATGGAAAGCTACTTAATGTTAATATGTAGTATTTGTTTCTACTTGTCTTTAATGAGAAGGAGCAGTACAGCTGCGCGTGAGTTCACCTGTAGGATGTAAGATAAAGCTCCTAAATTATCCTCTGTCGTGCTCTGAGAACAGCTTAATCATGAGGGAAATAGCTTTGTTTTAACATAAATAAGCTTCCTTTAGTATTTACAAAGTAACAATGTTTTGATGTATAAAAACTAAACAAACAAAAGTATCCCTGTAGGACAGGGTTTTTTTGGGTTTCAGTGTTGGGGGTTTTTTTGGTTTTTTGTTTTTTAAACGCATCTTTAGACCATCACTCACACTGGTTGGATGCTGCTACTTACAACCACTTTAGACTCCAGAAAGGCAAGATCCAATATCTACACTCAGGTACAAAATCTAGATCTAACAGGGAGAGTTAATACAGGTTCTACTTTTCCACTTGTGCTTACTTTAAGTATATCAGTAAAGGAAGACAAGCCTTTCAGTTTACAGAGTGTTTGTTGTTGAAGTTTGTTCTATTTTTCTGTTTTATTCTGAACTTCTATGCTGAAATACTACACTTTATCTATGTCAAGAAGTATAAATGTCTTCAGCGTGTTATCATACGAATTTGAGCCCTCAACATTATCCGTGCTGAAGAACAGAAAAATCAGGTTTGAAGTTCAAAGTGCACAAGTTTGAAATACAAACCTACATCCCAGCAATCGATAAAATAAGAGGTGGAGACCTAATGACAACTTTGCAGCAAACTCAATCCTCCCACATCTATTCCCAACTAGAATACATCTAATTTCAAAGAGGAAACAATTTTACTTTTATATTTGTTAATGCTACTGTGCATATGAACACGTTTATTAAAAGTCATCCATTTCTTCTTTCATTACATTTCTGATTAGAAAAAGCCAAATTAGCAGTTACAGACTTAAGTCGTAAGGATGTCATTTCATCATCACACATTTGGAATGATACTTTCCCAATAAAAGGGATTAAAT